CCCTATACCAGGCTAGGGTCCCTGCTCTCAAAGCTTTACCATGCACTTGGACGATGCAGGTGTTGCATATAAACTGAAAATTATCTGGAGTGAGTTGTTAAGGATGTAACTGTAACTGGCATGCTCATAGGAAGGAGCTCTGGTGGAAAGGCAGGAGTGCTTATTTTAGCTAAATCTTACAAAGAGGAAGGAGTGCTCTTTTAGGGGGTGGCCCTGACCTAAGATTTGGATAAAGACACAGACGTACGTGAATGGAAACATATGGCAGACACCACAGGCAAAGAGAACAATTTGTACAAAGGCCCGGGGAATGCCAATGCTAAGTTTGGCAAAAACAAGTTATATGGGAAGGGGACTGACTGGTGGCAGGAGCGTAGGCAAGACCCAACATTGCATCTGAAGAAATCGCTTTGGGCCAGAGCATTGTAAATAAAGAAACAAACAGAAAGGTGCAGTGGATACTACAGGTAGTTTGTCACGAAATTCCGAGCCAGACAGATGTTCCAGAGAAAAGTGACATTTGAATGACAGAGATAAGAGAGGAACTGGGGCAGGAGCTCAAATTGAAATGATTTTGGGAACCAGGACCGCTTATACTGACCTCTCATTCTGCATTTGGGGGAAAGGCTTTAATTTGTGGAGAGCCTGAGAAGACGCATGGGCACGTCCTAAGTGAGGGACGGAAGTGTAGGGAGGAGGCAGCATCGTGGGAGCCCTCCTGACCTACAGCATGAGTGACATGCTTACCAGCATCCAGCCTCATTAAAAACTACTTTTCAGACAAAAATGAAGCACATCATTAAAAAGCAGTTTGCAGGGAATGACAGTACCCGTGCGGGGAAGCCAGCAAAGCCTACACATCATCAGTATGCAATGCTGAGCTAGAGAAAAGTCGAGAAGAGGCTGCTGGAAATGAGGACAAATCGATAGAATACAGTCTCACACAAGTCAAGAAAGAGTTACATCTTGTATTTCTACGAACTAAACAAAGAATGTTTGGACAGGCAGCTGCCCAAGCGCCATAATACTAACCAGAGAATGGCACCATTTGTCAGAACTCACAGTGCCAATGACCATGAATGGGAGAACGGGCCAGATATGGAGAGGCAGGCAGTGCAACCACATGGTCCCCATAGTGACCTCACACACTTCTGACCAATTGCGACCTGACCAAAAGGGATCCAAAGATGGAATCACCCTTTCCATCAAAGGTCATTCTAACTGTTCAAAGCTTTTTCCTAAATGTGGTCTATCCTTTTCTGATGTTGACTTCAGTCTCCTTGTAGCCTGATACTCCTAGATCTCTGTTTAGAAGCCACAAGGAATGTATTAATGACACATCGGACATGTTTAGAGTCCGTTTAAAAAATGTTCCAGAATGTTAGAAGCAGTGACTATGTCGTCCTCTCTCTACACGTATTCTGTTCCCCTTCCAAGTGTCTTTGTCCCCAATCTTCATCCACCTCTCTGTTCCCAGAACTTGCCACCCTGCACCCATTCTGGGAAGCTTCTCCATTATCTCTAGTCGCCTTAAAACTGTGCTGACAGAGAATGTCACCTTATGAGCAAATTCAACCTGGGGCTTCTTTAGGTATCCTTCTGTAGACTGTAGTAATAGGGGTGCAATTGCATTCACTGAGCTTAGTCTCTTGCTATTTCTATTTCCCACTTGTCTCCCTCCAAGCCGGCCTGTTTGTTGTGTCTACATAATTCCCAGTGAGTGATTTCATCAGTATAAGGAATGTCATCCCTCATCACCCTATCATTTCTGATTAACATCACTCAGTCTAATGTACTTATATCTTGTACCAGTAAGGCCTGCATGATGCTTTATGCTTCCCGTGCCTCTTGCTAGGCATTGCCTTATTATATACTCAAACGAGAGAAGCGTCTCAAATGAAGAGGGAGATCAAGCTGAGGCTGAGTAGCTAAAGGCAGAGGGAAAATTGGAAGCATGATGTTTTGCTCACCCTGGCAAAGGGTGCTAAATGAGGACATCTAACAGTTTAGTTTGAAATCTAGATTACCCATCACTTACCCTCTGTATAAGTTCCAAGGTAAATTAGTAACAACAACAATAATAAGTAGCAACCTACTAATAACAGTTTAGTATGTGTACCAATCCTCAAAATCTGCTTTTAGTAGCTCTCTGTCCCATAATAGGCATGCCAAGTTTGGGAGTGGTAGGCATTATTCATTTTAAAGATAAGAAAATTAAGACATGGAGCCAGGTGGCTTTAATGACGGTCTCCCCCTCAGTAGGTTGCAACGATCTTTAATCTGTTTAACCACTTTCTAGTTTTGTACCACTCTCTCTGTAGAGCATATTGTAAGCTAATATTATACTATATGCTAATATTGACCGAAAAATATTGTTATTTTGGAAATTATTTGTTCATATAGAAGGGATATATGGGCTGTAGCAACATGTGATGCTTTGTTTGTGAGTTAAGAGATGTCGCTGGAGTGTGCAAGAAGGGCAAGAGAGTATTAGCCAGGTACTGTGCAATGTCAGCCATTGTGTCTTGGACGGAGCTGAAATGCATGCACACAGCTTCTGTCAATAGCCCATTTGGTACATAAACAAGATTCAAGGTGACTGATCGGCCTAAGAAAACAGTGTTTTCAAGCACTTTTAATGCCACTCCAACTGCATTCACTTGTATATAAATCATGTGGTAATTTATTCATTAAAATATCCTGTACTTGGCAACATTTTTATTAACCTTGGTTTACATTAATAAGCTATGTACTTGTGTATTTAATATATCTCTGTATAATGATTCTGTAGCTCTTATTTTCTTCCCACACAGACTAACGCCATTACCAACCGTCAGCTTGCACTACACATCTGTTGAACATAGTTCACATTTAGAGTGTTCAGAGGCTTTGGGAAGCCCAGGTTGTGCATAGGACCTACTCTACCACCTACAACTGTATCAGAATCACCTGTGAGGGGTTTGGTACTTGTAATAATTTGTTCTCATGTGCCTTTGCCATCTACCCAAACACAATCTCTAGCGATAAAGATATCCCTAAACAAATAAGAATTTCAGAAAGCTTCCAGGTCACAAATCAGCCCTCAAAACTGTGGCTAAGCAATGTCTACTTTACACAGTTCACAGCAGTGTTGGAAAATACACCAAGTGATCCACCGACTCCCTGAGCAGACATCAATGTAGGTTCTTACTAAATGCTGACACTTTTTATTTACAATGTTTGGATAACCATTTTAAAGCCTAGCTCATTAGAGAAAACCCTATGAACACACAGATATATCCAGTTCATGTGGACCTTGGGGACAAGTTGAAGATCTTATCTTCTTATAGGTCTAGTTGACAGAGGCACATAATAAACAAAATTAAAAATAAAAGTGTTTTTTTCCCCAAAAGACTGGAAGAAGGAAATCAAATACACGACTAATAACTTTCTATCCTATTTGACACCCAAGGCAGATGCTGCCAATCAAACCAAGAAACTTTCCTTGTTACAGCCAAAATATTTTTAATACAATGACCCTGGGGCACGTGATCAGCTCTCAAAAGCATGAAATATATTTTCCGTTCCATTGCTATGGTCAGTACATAAAGTGAAATGACTTTACATTTTCTTCTAGCCCACTATACCACAGTCAATGTTCTACACAGCACATGCAGACACTGGAAGGTTTTCATGTGGATAAGACCCCAGAGTAGAATCCTGTGGCCCTTGATGATTCATAGAGTACTGAGTTGACATTGATATCTTTGGATGGAAAGATCCAGAAATTATCCAACTTCTAGAATGTTCAGGAGATATGAGTCACACACATACTATTTAAACCAACCTAGTCTTTGATGTGGGATTCCCCTCTGTATGCTGTGAATACCATTGGTTAATAAAGAAACTGCCTTGGCCTGATACGGTAGAGTAGAGCAAGGTGAGGAAAACTAAACTGAGTGCTGGGAGAATGAAGGCAAAGTCAGAGAGAAGCCATGTAGCCCTGCTGGAGACAGACACCAGAACTTTAGCCAGTAAGCCACAGTCTCGTGGCCATGCACACATTAATGGAGATGAGTTAAATTAATATGTAAGAGTTAGTCAATAAAAAGCTAGAGCTAATGGGTCAAGAAGTGTTTTAAACAATATAGTTTCTGTGTGATTATTTGGGGGCTGGGCAGTCAGGAACAAACAAGTGGCCTCCTACAAGTCTCTGTTGAGAATAACTCAAAGTTGTACTTCAAAGGTAAGTTCTTTGGAGAGACAAATTGAGTCCAAAAGTGTGCTAAATGCAAAGGCAGTATGGTTTTTGTATGTGTATGGTAAATATGTGTGTACATTTTAATGAGCGTGCATATATATGTACATATGTCAGATGCTGTCATTAAGTATATTCCTCCATCACTTTCCATCTTTTCTTGAGATAGGGTCTTGTTGACCCTGTAGCTCACTTGGCTAGACTCAATGACCAATAGCTCCAGGGATCTGCCCATCTACTTCATGACCATTTTGTTCCTAGTGCTGGGATTACATACATGCATGTACTACCATTTCCAGCTTTATATACGTGTGCTAGGGTTGCAGCAAAGTCAGGTTCTCATGCTTATCATGGAAGCAATATATCCACTGAGTCATCTCCTCAGCTCCCAAAGTTAGCGCATCCAACTCAAAGAATCATATGACACTCTGCTTGACTTCTACTGGTAACGCTTTACATTACAAAGATTCAGGATCATGTCTTCACACAGATATTACATGTCCTGGTAAACATGACAAAGAAGAAATCACAAGAACACTTGGTTTGCTATTGGTTTTCATTAGTAGAACAAATCATTATAATTCATTTCTTTTACCTCTTATGGTCACTCTAAGCTTGCTAGCTTTTACTGCCACTTCCCAAGTCCTCATGGGTAGAATACCATTTAAGATCATGTCTTGGGTGATGTCTAGCTAATTGGATTGATTCAATCACACTGACAGGTCCTGTGACCCAATAATAAGGTCACAAAGGACAGACTCACCTCATCATAGATGCTGTCATTCCTGCGGAAGTCCCCTGCTTTCCTCGGAAGAATGTGGACATGCACATGCTGGAGGTACAAAAGAAAGAAAAAAATGTGTTTAATTCACCTTCTGTCTTTTGACTTGACAGTGATGCTCTCCGGAAGGCCAATTACCCTTCACAGGTTCTCGCTGGATTATTTTTCAGGAGAGGCTGATGATCACTTTCAGAAACTACATCTGAAATCTGCTGCGAGTGGAGAAACACAAAACAAGAGGGATACAAGCTGGTGGCCTGCGAGACTTTGAGGGAAATGTCAGTATGTATCACAGGATCTGTGGAATCATGCGTCACTGTCAGTCTGGGCTGTAGTCAGCCAGGGCTTTGAAATGACAGCGTGTCTTCAGAGACGGTTGTTATGACTGTGACTCTGAAGCTGACAAGAGAGAAGGATTGGTCAAGAGAAAACTGAATAAATAGCCAGGGAATTGGTGAAAAGAGGAAGTAGTGTGGGCCAAATCAAGAATGCTGGCTTTGACTAATAATTATATAAGACAGACAGCTCTCGTTCATTCTTATTTGCTATGACAACCAGAGATTGTATTAGTCCTGGACAGTGTTTCATGGAGTGCTTCCACAGTTCTTTTCTGAAGTGATCTTCATTTTACAGAAGAAGAAACCAATACTCAGAGAGGTCAGGGCTCTGAGCAGAGAGTGGTAGAGTCCTCACAGGAAATGATGTCACATGGTTCTCATCTTCTTGTTCATTGCCATCACACAATAATTCTGTGAACTTTATATTTTTAAAAAGTTTTTAAAAAATAAATCTAGGATGTGTCTGTCTCTCTCTGTGTGTGCATGCGTGTGTGTGAGTGTGTATGCGCATATGTGTGTGAGTATGTGTGTGTGTATGTATGTGTGTGTGTGCGCGCATGTGTATGATGGTCAGAGGACAAGGGACAGCAGGTCCTATCCTTCTACCTCATGCATTTTGGGAATAGAACTCAGGTTGTCAGTCTGGGCAGCAAGTACCTTTACTGATGAGCCATCTTACTGGCCTTCACTTAATCTTTTAAATCCCTCATTTCCCTGGTCTAATCTACTAAAGCACCCATGTAATAGACATAGCAGTCTTATTAGTCAGAGATCATGACTTAAGGATCACAGCGTATCTAATTCAATATATAGTCTTCAAGGCTAAAATGCTACTTGGAAGTTTTATTCTACCAATGGTATCTATTGTATCTCTCTAAACCTAAACCTCATTCATAGCCTTGAGCTAACTTCCTGCACTTGTTATTAATTACAGAGAAAGGAGAATGGAAAAGCCAAAGTATGGAAAGACAGGCAAAGAATCAAAGTACATCCCCACTCACCCCCCCACCCTATCTTGATTCCTATGGCTGGGCTACAATAATGGGCCTCCAGAGAACAGAACGTGAAATATCTCGTGGTTTTGTGTACAAGGAAGGGAGAACAATAAGGTATACAGGATAGGCAGTAAGTTGGGCTGTCCAAGGTGAATGAAACAAAGAAGAGCTTCATGTCAGCTCCCAAGTACAGAGTCCCCAGGCAGTTTCTGCCCAAATCACCTCCAGTTCATGATGATGGCAACCTCAAACCCTAGAGTCAATGGGATATAGGCATATTTAAGTCTCAAATGTGAACAAGAAAAAGGGATACAGAAACAGACATGGAGAAGTAAGTTACAAACTACCTAGGAACCAAATTCTTACAAGAAAGTCTTGCAACATGGGCCCAAGAAGAAAGTAACCATGCAAAGTAGTTGAATGAATCAGACTTCAGACCAGAGAAGACACGGAGGGGAAATGGCTGAGTACTGGGTGAAAGACCCCTGGCCCCCAGTCTTCACTTGCAAATCCTGATACAATTCTTCCTTTTTCCCCCCTCCCTTTCTTTCTCACCAAGACCCTTTCTCTCTTCCTTCCTTGATGTCATCTACCTGTTCTCCACCCCATTCCTTACATGTAAGTCATCAAAATTTTCAGAGCAAAATTTTGTACTCATACTACCAGAGGGCACAGAACACAACAGTAACAGCTTTTACCTGGAATACAGTATACACAATACTGTCGGATCACCTATGTACTAGCTGTGTTACCTTGCCACGGCAGGCCTGTGACTCAGCATCTTTCTCTGTAAGAGGCACTGCAGCCTCCCTACCTTACGGACCTAACGTATGAAATCTACTAAGCGCATGGTTGTCATACGCTTGTGGTGCTACTTAGCAGAGTGTTCTCAACACACACAGATGCAGTGGGGACAGCATTACTGCTAAGAATGCAATCTGAAGACCAGAGGTCATGTTCAGTGACTGGTTTTATATTAGCAAAGTTGGTATTTCAGAAGCTCCTTAAAGGGGCCACCATGAAAGCATCTCTTTTCACAGATTCTGTTTCTGTTGTTTTGATTACAAAACAGCAGTAAATAGCTACGTATTGCTAAAATTAGGGATGTTCTGATCTACTTTCTAATAACTCCCCAAGTGATGCTGCTCACTTGAGAGCCAATGACTCAGACCATCCCTTTTGTTCTTAGGTCTAGCCCTGTGAAACGCACTGAGGTAACACCTTGTTGGCCTGCCCTGCTGTGGTATGTGGAGAGCTATCTCCATATGCTGCCCAGGCTTTCAGCATTGATCACCCACTCTGCCTGTCCCCAAGGTCATGCCAGTGACTCCAGGGTCTGGACATGTCTCTGATTCCCTTTCTATCCCCTCCTCCTCTGGGCTTCCTCTTCAGAGCTATTTCTATAGACTGCTACCATTCAGTTCTGGAAATGCCACTTTCCGTCACTGGAAACCATTTAAAACTTGCCGTGATACCAAATGTAGTAAACAGCTCTCTGTCTAGCTGATGTTTCCCTGAGGGCATGATCTCACCTCCTCCTAATACATGATACGCTGACATAGGCTCTTAAGTGACAGCCTAATCACAGGATTCTGACATCCCACTCAGCCTCTCAGGACTGAGGAATCATGACAAAGCCAGCGCTCATCCTTCTAAGGAAGAGAAGTAGGACTCAACCTACGAACACAATAAGTATATAAACCAAGAGATGATAATTTCCAGAAGCCCAGAGAAGGGGGGATTGCAAGGAAGAGGGAAACATCAATAGTGTTCATCGTTGTTGAATGCTTGAGTTGGTTTCAGTGAAGCTGGAAAGATAACCCTGCAAAGGCCAAGAAAAGATACTCAGTGCCATTAGTCATTAGTGAAATGTCAATCAAAACCACACAGAGATACCACTCCATAGGCACCAGGCTGCCTCTAATCAAAACACAGAGAAGTGCAAGGGCGGGTGAGACCGGGGAGGCATGGAAGCCACAAACGCTTTTGCACAGAGTGCAAAATGATGCAGCTGCATGCTTGAAAAACAGTTTGGCAATTCCTCAAAATGTTAAACATACAGACACCAAATGACCCAAAATTATATTCCCAGTATATACCCAGGAGAACTGAAACCATGTAGGCACAAAACCTCGTAATGCATATTTATAGCAATATTATTCACCATCATCAAAAAGTGGAAACAATCCAAAGTGACTATCAACTATGAATGCTGTAATAAGAAGACAACGGAAGATGATTGGGCATAAAAAGGAATGAAGCCGCTAAGGGACGGCATTATGCTAAGCGAAGGGACTCAGATACCAAACGGTCATATAATACGCGATTCCATTTATGAAATGCCCAGACTAGGCAAATTCACAGGGAGAGATCAGTGCTTCCTGCAGCACAATGAAGAGCGACTGTCAGTGGCAACTGGGTATCTTTGGGGGTGATGGATGATTTCTTCTCCAGCCTCATATAGTCATGGCGGTCCCACAACTTTGTGAATGTGTTAAAACCCACTGAAGCTTTTGCTTTCACAGTGTGAAGTGTATGGATTCTAGCTCGCTAGAGGTGTGGCTAGGATGGGAGGAGAAGAGAGACAAAAGCACTAGCATCGCCTTTTCTGCTCGCTCTGCCTCTTTCTTCCTTCTATTTTTTTCCCACACATGTATCCATCACCTGAAGATGGTCAGTGCTGTCAAAATGGTCCGGCTTTTCCTTGTTAGACTGTATCATAGTTCAACTGCAGGGGATAAAATAACGGCAGGAAAAAGCATAAAAGGCCAGCCTCCTTTATAACTGGATTAGCTATACACCCAGTCAATTAAGCCTGTGTAAACGCCTGTCTTCAATACTGCCTGAGAATAATGATAGAAGGAAAATTTGGCTTAAAAGAATAATAAATATTATATTGTAGGGGCCAGATAATGTCTTCTCCAAAGATACCTACTCTCTAATCCCAGACCTGTAAATATGGCCGATTACAGGACAGGGAAAGTTCAGGTTGTATATGAATTGAGGTTGCTTACCAGCTGTCTCAGTTAGGGTTTCTATTGCTGTGAAGAGACACCATGACCATGGCAATTCTTCTAAAATAAAATTGCTTAATTGGGGTGGCTTGCTTAGAGTTTCAGAGGTTTAGTCTATTATTAGCATGGCAGGAAGCATGGCAGAGAGCAGGCAGACATCTTGCAGGCAACAGGAAGTCAACTGAGACACTGGGTGGTATTCTAAGCATAGGGACCTCAAAGCCTACCCCCACAATGATACACTTCCTTCAACAAAGCCACATCTCCCTAGGAGGTTATGGAGGACAATTCCATCCAAACTACCACATCAGCTGATCTTGAATTTGAAATCTACCTTGGATTACTTGGCAAGGATCAAGGTCATTACAAGAGAGCATCAAAGTAGAAGTCACTGAAGACTCAGCTAATGGGTTTTCTCAGAGTAATTGAATCAGGAGGACCTAGACTTAATCACTGGATTAATTCATCATGGAGTCATATTTTGATGATATTATTAAGAAGTAGAAGGATGCAAGGCATCCTTGGAGGAAGTAGGTTACTGGGGGCATGTCTTATCTTGTCTCCTGAGCGTCTCTGAGTTGATTCTTGGATTCCATGTAGTCATCATCTCTGCAGATTCATATTCTTCTTCCATTATGTTCTTTCTCACCATGGCCCAGTAACAATGGAATCAGATCACCATGGACTAAAATCTCTGAAACCAT